TACTAGTAGGAACAAAGCAATCTAGTGATAATGACATAAGGCAATTAACTGGTAATCTGGAAAGCTAAATGGAGATTCCAAGCCATTGGCAATGAAAATACACTACAGAAATTTTCCAAGAAATGCTGCTTCCATTGAAGTCAATGATTAATTCCACAACTGGCTATATTTTGAGATGGCTTGGCTTCTTTCCTGGACAGAATCACTTCAACTTTTTGTAAAATAATTACAAAAATAATAAAATCCACTGGTCTTTAGCAACTGCTGCATTTTCTCCTGTGATAAAATATTAAGTGGAGAACGACAGACCTGCTTAGAAAATTAAACAGTGTTCCTTTCCCCATTTCCCCAAAACCAAGCAAAACTATGCCCCATCCAAGCAAATATTAAAAGAGGGTTTGGCATGTTTATACTCTCTCTTTTAATGCATGACCTCTCTCCATTTTTTCTTTTTTTTTTTTTTCAAAATAGCATGGGTAATATGGTTATTGCAATGTTTCTAGTGCAGCCTAAGGCATAAGTCTGAAATCTTACAGAAAAGCTTTCCATTGTAAAATGCTAAACTGTTTTCAACCTTAAGTACTTTAGACAAAGAAAGATTATCCAGTGCAAACACATCAAATACTCACGCTTTCTTCATATACTTTATGAAAAGACATCTTTCATAACAAAAACAAATGCTAACTCATACTGTCAAAAGTTTCCTCTACACTGAAGTGAGGAAAAAAAGAGCCGAATTAGCACTTTTTTCTAATTCTGTTTGCCTGATACTCTCTAGAAAAAGGGTCAGCAGCCTGCAGCACATACAGAGATGGAGCATTTAGCATATCATAAAGGTTGAATGGGGTCAGGAACCAGGAGCAGATGGAATCCCAGAAAGGCAAGAGCTTCAGGGTCTTAAGCCCTACTCTTCAGCAGCTGCCCCAGTGATCAGCTAACGAGCAGCATCTTGCTCTTTTGAAGGCATGTTCATACCCAAGCACAGGTTGCATCCCTTGGCTTTGGCACAGTGATCTGCCAAGCAGTGCTGACTGCTCAGCGCATTGCAGCCACTGAACTGTGGCATTTTCCCTGGTTTTGCTCTCCTGCTCTGGCAAAGCAGAGTCAACAGCTGAGACATCTCTTCCTTTAACTGTTCTTGAACTGTAAATTGCCTTGCATTCCCTTCAACTTCTACAACTGAACCAGCTTGCTCTACCAAGTACTGATCACATCAGCACTTCAAGGCCTCTGGTAGTCCAAGGTAAGGACCTGAACATACATTCAATATGTAATTCAGATGTAATCTCAAGAGCAATGCTTTCCAAGTGTTTCTGAAATAATACTGGGCCAGCTGACATTTAGGTTGAGCACATCCTCCACCAAGAGGCTGGCCTCAGCCTAAGACATGCAAATGATACTCTACAGTAATACCTGCATACTGTCAGTCATTCCTCTCGTAGAATCAGTGCTACCTAACTAATTAACTAAATAAAAGGAGCAAACAATGGACTAGCTTAATAAGCATACAGACACAAAAAGTAAACTGGCAATGCATTTTAAAACAATAAGATGGTCTGCAGCAGCCAAGCAATGATTTAAAGAATCAGTTACAGTTATATGGTAAATCAGTGCAAGTAACAGCTCAAAGGTTTTAATTTCACTTCTAAATATTTTTATCTGAGGAACGGTAACATCATCATTATAATGAACTGTTGTCCCAGGTACACTTTACACTGGGAGCTGTGGCTCTCCAAAGGGATAGCAGCAACAACTTGTCAGCACTGGGTTACACCTTTCAAGGGCAGTTATAGCTTTAAGTGAAATTACTCTGAACAGTGCAATCAGGCAGGCTATTCCATGGCCTCAAAATATAAAACTTGCCTTTTGAAAGAGCCCTCAACATTTTCATAAACGTGACAAGAAATTACTGTATACATCAAATGCTGAGCTATGCAGGTACATTATTCTGGCATTTATCCTGCATTCCTCTGTAAAAAGCCCTACAACTATACATATTTAAACAGCTAAACTACCTCTTTTTTTTCCTGTAAGGTACTGAAACCAGAACTAGTAAAAAGAGAGGTTAGTCCAGGATAATGATGGAACATCAAGGACTAATTAAAAATGACTCAATTTTCAGGTCAGAAACATTTACATTATTTGTATAAAAAAGATCAAATAGGAGTACAGTCAAGTATTGCCAATATTTCTGCCAGTCTTTTTAAGATAATGCTGTACCTGGGGCCACATAATTCTGTTAGCTCTTTTCCTGAGAAGCTGCAAGGATTAATGCTAGCTCTGTATTTTTAAATACTTGGGAGATATTCAAATACAACAACGAGATTGAGTTGGACAGAAGAGAGGTATTTTTTTTGCACACAGTAAAATATTGGTAATTGGCAATTAAAAAAAGACAACTCCTGTATGATTTGAAGTTTAATCAAAATGTTACATTGAAAATGAAAACAGAGGGAACATTTACTGGTGTATATAAAGGTAATCGGTCTCTACAATGTAATGCTGGTAAACAAAATGTCACTGTTTTGAAAAACCCAGCAGTAAAGAAAGTAATTGCTCTTTGATATCGGCCTCCACTTTGTTGTGGATGGTGCTGATTCTGTTCAAGCAAATAATTTATGTCCAGCATTGTACCGTCCTATAACTATAAACTATCAAAACCATTAAAACATTAACATTTTCCAGCAATAAATATAGAGAGCAAACGAACACTTAGATTGTTCTGTGCACTGTTGTAAGTACGCTAAAACTCTAAACCTAGCAGTTCTAGGTATATTCACAATTAAGACAGCAACACTCTGTGATCCAAAAATATCAGGTGAGAAAAATCAAATGACAAATAAGAAAATTATTTAGTGACAGAGTAAGTGAAGTTTTCTTTTCCACTTACCAGTTCTGGTCCAAAACCAATCATTTCACTAAGTTTCAATTAATGAATAAACTTAAAAGTAATGAATTTTTTATTTTCATTATTTATATCTGCTACCTCTTTTCCAGCACAACTGTTAGCTCAGGACAGCATACTTCAGACAGGTAAACTTTCAGCTTGCCTAATATTAGTAACATCAACCACACTATGAATCTCTCACAATTTGCTGCCCTAAATGTTACTTTCATCCTTTTAAGCTTGAACTGTGGTAGCTGAAAAGCAAATTCAGGTCAGCTGCTGTAGTGGCTGCTACATCATGGCAAGTTCCAGCTGAGGTGAACTGCTGAATGCTTCTTAAATGGTGTCAACTGGAGTTGTCAGGAGATCATAAGCCAGAGCCCCAAGCAATCTGATTAGAATCAGAGAGTAACTGGATTAGTGGAACTACTGAATTAGTGTTTGATGAGCTGCACAATTCATATGTATCTTCACAGCACTACGAGCTCTCAGACCTGCAACATGAATTAGCATCCAAGCCTTCCTGTGCCAGGCGACTCACACCTCATTGCATACAGACAAGGGATTTGTGCAAAGGTTTGCATTGAAACTGGTGAAAAAAAATCAAAACTACCTTGATCTAGCAATTCAGTAAAGACACTTGCCAACTCTATTGGTATGTTTTGTCATGATTTTCTTTTCTTTCGTTTTAGCCAACTTTAACAGGTGAAATTGGGAGAGGCAAGGTGCAATCAGTCAGACAGCTGGTGGTACCTTGTCCCTGTGAGAGGTGAAAGACTTACACAGCAAATGCTGAGTTCAGTGACAGAAAAGGTCCCTGCCTTTCCTAGTGGCAGGAACTGCCCAGCCAGCAGCACCTTGACTCTCTGGGAGTGCATTTGCCAACTCTGTTGTCACACATCAGTTTGTGAAAAATATCATGCACTGAAGGAAGGCAAAATGTTCTCCTCAAGCAGCTGCACGGAGCAGGCCCATCAAGATAAGTCATGTCCACTACTTTTTGACCATCAAAGTATTGGTAGAATGCTTCTGTCAGGGTAGTCCAAACACAAAACTCCTCTCTTATGCTCTGCAAACTAGGAGGTACCTATTCAGGTTTTAGTCATAGTCCAGACAAATCTGAAGATTCCTTCCAGTCATGGCTGGCTAGTCTTCCTGTCTAGAATTATTGGGAACTAAATAAAGAAACACAACTTTTGACTTTCATGGCACAGATAAAATAAACATTTTTAAATGAACATTTTTTTGAGCGCTGAAAGGGTTTCTTCTGCTGTTCCTTTTTTAAATAAAGATGTCCTTTTCTACATTTCAGTTAAAAAACTTAGAGTCCAAACTCACAAGCTTTTTTTGTAGATTTTCATATTTGCAACGATCAAAATGCAACTTGAAACAAGCCAACTACAGTGAAATCAACTCAGTCAGAAACAGGATTGCAGTTAGAGCTTTATCTGCCTCCATCCCTATAACTATTCCAACACAGAAAGATGGAGTAAGTTATGTTACTATTTATAGTAAAAGGAAATTATAAATATGAATGCTTAGTAAATAGTAGAAAACAGAGAAAATACAGTAATTTGGAGTTATGTCTTCACTAATATCTAGTAATTCACAGGTGGCATGTTACATCTGTGTGCTGTATTTTATTTGACATGTTCACAGTCCTTTTTAAGTCAGTCACAAACCCAAACACAGTTAGCAGGGTATTTAATAAAATCAGATTTATAAAACTATTACTGTGTGAAACAGCATTTCACCTGTTAAATTTTTCTAATACAAAACCAGCTACTCAAATCAGTAGAGAAAAACCCCAACAAATACTGAAACTATTAGAAAATAATTGAGATGTTATGAAAGCTATAAATACATCAAACATTTCTGATGATGTCATAATGCACACTACATGTTTTCCCCTCTTCGTTTCCTTCACAAAACCTCTCCTGATATCTGCGGCTCCTAATCATGTGTTCTATAAATACAGCTTAGTTGACTAAGGCTGAAATGTGCTAAGATGCAGTAACGTTTCAAATTCATACATGAAACAATTTGGAAGCTTCCCCCAGGCATTCGCGGCTGCGGCTCCCGCTGCTCCGCTACCCACAATCCCCCCATTTACCTGCTCGCTGGGCTGCCTCAGCCCTGGTCAGGAAGTGGTAAAGCTGATCCAGCTTATCAGGCTGCTCCTCCAGGGACTTCTCATGCCATATGGCTGACCCAGGCCCTGCAGCCTCCCTCAAGGCATTCCACTTCTGTATCAGAGTGAAGAGCTCGGAGAAGGACTTGTGATAACCCCGGCGCAGCATGTCTATGCAGATGTTCTTCGTGTATGAATTCCTGTTACTGGGAATAAGAAAGAGAGATTTTAAGCCTTTAAACCTGTATTCTGTTCTCCACCTCGCCAAATAAGTACAGATAACTAAAACAGCTTTCAAGAAGAGACCTCTGCAGTTCAGCAGCAGGGAATGGGTATGTATTTCCCCCGCTCAAAAAGTGATCTGTTATAATACGATTGCAAATGCCATACCCCAGGGAAGTAAATATGGCAATAATGAATAAATGCCTGTATATATATTTGTGAAAACATGTTAAAAAAATACACTGGTATTCTTCAGCTGGTATTTGGTAAAAAAGGCTGTCTGATGGGAAAAAAAACCCAACCATGTTTACATTAGTTCATGAAAACACAATGAACTCTTAGTTTGCTTTAAGACAGTGCACAGGGAAAAATGAGGCACATTCCACATGTCAAAACAACGTACATGTTAAATAGTTTTGCTGTAGGACATGATGGCTTGGTTTAAAACGTCAAACAAATGCTACGCCAGAAACATAATCATTAGATGTTATTTTGCTTCTGTTTAGCATATAACTTCAGCTGGGACTGGTTTACTGATGCAAAAGTTTGATAATTTCTCCCTAATTTTACACTCAAATGATGCTGTGATGAATTTATATCAAAGTTTATCTCATTCATAAACACTGATAAGACGTCCATATTAAAAAGTCGTGTAATCAAATATTCTCAAGAGGTAATATATCTTTTGAGGTATTATTTATGGAAATAATAAAAATATTTCTTTTACAGGGCATGAAACAATCATTGTGTCCTATTCTGGAGAAAACTATGAGTCCAATGGGACTGCCTGCAACACTAAGGTACAGATGTAAAGGTTTGCAGACATAGGTATCTAGTGTGGGAAAACAAACCTTTGTCCCAGTAAAATGGCAAGGACCCAGATGTGTTATTTCTATTTTGTATATTCCATTAAGTTTCTAAACTGTTTTCAAGACTGTCTTTTTAGACTAAAATCTATTTAAATTCAAATTCTCAGCAGCTTTAAAATAAATATGGAATTCTGAAAACTGAGATTTATAGTGTATGTCATAAATTCAGATGATTTCATACTAAATAATAGCCTATTGAGACTAATACTTCAAGCCTGAAAAGAGCCTCTGCAGTTCTTCAACAATGCTGATAAGATGGAAGTTATGTGAAAAACTTTTTAGCTAGATGGCAATGAAATAAACAGCAATGTAAGATGTAAGAAACAAATAATCTGCATTATTTCATATTTCACACAATCAAAATAAAATCTCTTACTACACAGATGCACACTAATCCTTCACAATGTATTTTTTACATTTCAGTTGCAGAACTGAACATAAAAATATTAAATAATTCTGATACGATATAGACTAGATAATACTGAATTTATGTTTAATATATAAAGAGATGGTTTTTGCGACTGAAAAGCACACATAGCTCAAACAGTCAAGGGAAAAGATGAAACTGTTCTGCACCAGAAAACATTTGCAACGTTTACCTTAGAAAAGTAAATGAGAAATATCTTTAAACGTTTAAATTTTAATTTGCCAGAATACGCTATATTTGACATACAGCAAATGCACCGTATATAGCTTAAAAATACTGTGAGGATGTTATGCTAATACCGTGCAATGTATTCTCTATTCTGCATATGGAATACTTTCTTTTTTCTTTTCTGTTTTAAAATTCTACCTAACTTACAAAAGATTGAAGAATATAAGTAAAAATTCGTACCAACTTCCAAAGGCCTAAGACTGGATCCTACATTAATATAACTCCGAGCAGTGGAATAACAATCTGCATAGCAGGCACACATACATGCATATTTATTTATACAGTGGGATCTATATATGTTTGTATGTGTGCATGCATTAGATCATTAGATATATTGGAAGTAAACAAAAAAGCAATGCTAAAAGGTCTTAACAGTGACTAACCAAAATCATTCAGTTAATTTTTATCACTCACTGCATACTCACTGAGCACAGCATTGAGATTCGTATAAATAGAAAAACTGTGCCCATGTAACATGTTATTTTCTGTAGACTGATGCATTTTACTTGAATTCAAAGCACATTTTCCCCACTAGAAAGCATTATTAACAAACCAATAAAGGGAAACAAAGCATATAGTAAAACACATCAGTTTTAAAAATCAGTGTCAATAGTCTTTTAATAAATCCCATCCCAATTAATGAAGACATTGAAATAATGCTGAAGTAATCATACTGTACAGAGCACATTTTTTTTCTGAGGCAAAAAGAACTGATTTTAGCACACAAGCAATGAAGCTATCTACTGTTTAACCCTTCAAATTTAGTAGCATAAAAATAAAAGTAATCTCTCAGCTATGAACAGAAAATATTACTACAGTTATTTCCTTAAGTTTCTGTAATATATAAGACACAAGTGACTGATCACACACAAACAATAAAACAGGGCAAGAGATTAATGATATCACGGGGATGAATGGTATTTGTGCCACCTAAGAGAGCTCGACATGGCAATGACTTCTGAAATCGTTACAAAGTGCTTCCAGATGAAAATTCCAGTGCCCTTTTTCCCCCCAACAAACAGTTCTTTTGAACAGAGGTGTGATGTTGGTGACAGCAGTAAACTTTTCATGATACCTTGTGATAAACTATAAATCCTCGAAATCCTTTCCATCCTGCTTCCTATGATGTCATGCAGCGTGTGAAATCCAAGGTAAAACACAGCACCTCGTGTTTTGGATAACCAAAGATTACTTGATTTGTGATATCAACATCAAAAACTGATTACTAAGGTCCCTTCCAACTCAAGATATTCTATGATCTATGATTGATTTTATCCAATCCAACTGTTAACGGTGTGTTTCTACTACCGTAATAAGATTGTTTATACTAAGCATTTTGAACCTTACAACCTAATAAATTATGATTTAGTATTAAACAAGCGAGTTTGTTTTTCCGCATTGCTTCCGCGCCGACTTCAGGTTTCCTTTGGACAATTATGTTACTTCCAGGAGCGAAATGGGAAAAGACTGCCCTTTCCTCTGGTTGGAGCGGAGCCGTTCAAGGGGTTTAATGGTCTCTGGGGGCATCTACTGGAAATGCGGGAAACTGCAGGCAGGACATGCGGACCTCGGCGCCGGCAGCGCGGCAGAACAAAGGGCCCCCCGGCCGTGCCCCCGCACAGGGCACCGCGACACGGACACGCTGGTCCTGCCCGCACAGCCGCCTGCGAGCGAGCTAAGGAGTCGGACTAGAACGGGCAGACGGCTTTGCGATGTTAAGCGTGTTTAATTTTAAAACTGAACCGTGATGTGACTGTAAACGCGAAGTCCTCTTCCCCTTTCGCGTGATCGCGTGTGCACGCCAGGAGAAAGAGATTTCAGATGGAATTTTTTTAAAGCAAACTAATTTCTTAACGAATTCGGGAGCATATCTCTGTATTTATGTTTGAAACAAAGCTACCGATTAATCTGGGTTTAATTCAAAACAGAGTTGGTTTTTTTTTTTGTTTGTTTTGTTGGTTTGGTTTTTTTGAATCCATAAAATTCAACAGATGAGAACCACAACGCTTATCATAGACCCAGCCAAGACTGAGAATCTTCTGCCTGGACAGTCAGCTCTGTCACTGCTGAAACCCTGTGATGTTGCTACATGTTTATTTACACAGGCTGGGGAACACAATGAAATGAGGTCCAAGTGGATCTGGTGAGGTGTCACGCGCTTGTCCTACGCCAGCAGCTTTTGTGATGCAATATTCTGTCATACGGTGCTGAAAAATTCGGTGAGCTTCTGTCTCTGTGCCACGGGCGGGTTGCGTGTCACAAGAATTTTTAGCACCAAATGAACAACCACCAAGAGTTAAAGTTGCCATTTTAGTGGCACCATGGTATAGGTGATGGTTTTCGTGTCGTGTAATATCACACGGATGGAAGGAGCTACTTACTGAACACGGACCTGGGAGCTTGAAAAGGCACTGCTGTTGTTAACACTCTACTTTAAGAGTACCTGGATATTGCTATGGGCATTTTAATTTTTTCCTTAAACTACAGAGCTACTTATGTAATTTTCTTATATGGATTTCTTTTTATTATTATCATTGCTATTATAAAGTGATCTCGAGTCATGCTGAGGAATCACAGGAACCTGACTCTAATTTGCCTTTACCAGTGCAAAATAAATAGTAGCCCTCAAGTGAGGCTCATGCAATTACACTGTTCCAGTCCCAAGGACCTTCCTATGTTAAGGTGTTATACTTTTATGAGACTCTTATGCAATGCTGGGAGATCAGGACAGCACCATACAACATTCCCTTTACCTTAAAATCCTGCACAATAAGGCTATTTGCATTCTACCCTTTACATTGAAAGAGGGAAAAGAAAAAAAAAAAGAAATTAGGAGGCCAAGAGGTAGGTACTGGTGCTAGAAATAATCAAAATAGTCAGTATAGCATAACAGAATCATTTATCATGAGCTTAATTCTCCATACCTCCTGTCTGGTGTAGCCAATTACAGGCATGCAAAATAAGTCCAAAAATCTACTATTTTCAGATGGCAGATTTATAGATATATATTTAATATCAGGTTTCAGATATTAAGATTTTGTGGGATTTAATTAGTACTTCTGGTTAATTCCAGCTGCTGATTACAATACAAATGTACTGTAGCAATCCCATTTTGTAAAGCACAAAATGGCATGTATTAAACAACGGTAGTATATAAAATATTAAACTGTACTTTCAGTGTAAAATAATTACTCTACCAATTATTATAATATTTAAAAACTGTATTCAAATAGGTTTCATCCACTTGGGATTTTCTTCTGCAGTTGGCAAGTCAATGACTTGATATAAATGCCTTAGATAAGCATCACAAAATTATGAAAAAATCATCAAGATATTTTTGCTTAAGTTCATTTAAACAAATTTATTTTACTTTACCCACATTTCCTGTCTATAAATCTACAAGTAAATTAAAATTACATAAAGTATGTGAACACTTTGCTACTTTTTGCTTAACCTATAT